CAATTACTCTTGGTCGAACTTGGTTCAACCAAGTAGTTCGTGAAGTTCTGTGGATATTGGAACACTTGGACTCGACTCGACCAATTACGAGCAAATACACCAATTCAAGAAAGTCAGGGAACCTATTGAGTTAAATTCTGAAACTTTAACATAAAATCCATCTCACTGGACTCAACAAAACCACCAAGTTTCAGCCCCAAACTCATTATACACAATTTTATAAAATTCAAATACGGTATCAGCAAAAACGAGCATAAAATCCAAAGCCCGAACTAATGAACGAATTAGCACATAAGATTTTTACTGGAGAAAGTTCAGCAATTAAGAATAAACATATAAAAATCCCAGAAATTTACTCCCAATACACAAATTATGAAAATTCGTACAAAGATTCAGCAGTTATCGAGTTTTAATTAAAACCGAACCAATCCAAACTCCAAAATTCCAATATTTTTACAACATGCTAGTACACATAAAACAAGCATCTCAGCCAAAAATCAGAATTATTTAGCAAAGGACCGATTTATCATAATTAAAAACGTCTTTCTGCAAAAACATTAAATAAATTATTTACCCTATCAATCTCAGTCTAAAAATTATAAAAATTTTACACAACATCATAATCATATAGAAAGACGACATACTAAAATTTTATAAAGTTTAGAGCACAACTCAATTTATTATGAATTAAATATGAATCTGACCAGAAATTACGATAATTTTTAAAAATAGCTATAGACCTCCGAAAATTCTGAAATTTTTACACGACCTATTTCATTATCAGAGGGTTATACAAATCAAATTTCGCAGCAATCGGACAAGTATACGAATTTAAATAATTTTTCGAATATTCAGCAGCACCACTCGATTCAAGAACGCATAACCAACAAATTAATCAACAATTTCATCTAAGGCCTTCATCATAAGGCCTAAGACTTCAAATGTTCCAGTAAATCTACAGCCCTTTCACGATTTTAAGCATTAATCATATAAATCGCACGTGACGAACATAACACGCAATTAACTCCATCGAATATAAACCCTAGCATGAAATCCAATTAATTTCAGCGGCTATATATCACGATTATATAAAATAAGAGGGTTTATATAGCCTGGTACCGTTCTCGGGAACATCGAACAAAACGAGAGATCGGACGGGGATAAGGAGTAGCGACGGGCGATCGACGGAGGCTCGGCGGCTTGCGCGACGGAGGGGAAACGCCGAGGGAGGGAGGGAGAGCGAGAGAGGTCGGGAGAGTGAGGGAGAGGGGCGGCTGAAAATGAGAGGAGAGGGGGAGAGGATCATCTCATATTTATAGGACTAGGGCTTTGTGACTTACCATACAACTCACTTGCCCAAAATAAGCCACAACACACAAAAGGAAGGAGAGGAGGGGATGGGGCGCGGCTCACGGGCTTGGGCACGGATGCGCGGCTCACGGGCTCACGGTCTCGGGCTCGAACAGCTCGGTTTGGACAAAAATAATATTACAATAATATAAATTAAAATATTTAATATAGTATTTAATATTTAAAATAAAATACCACAATTATAATATATATATATGATAAATACAATTAGGCACATAAAATCACTTAAGCATTTTAGACAATTAGTTACCAATAATAATATTAGCCACAAATAATGACAAAAATAATAATAATGATAATATCAATAATCCAAAATATTCATAAACGAACGGGGCGTCACAGTCTATCCACCTTACAAAGAATTCCGACCTCGGAATTCGAATACAAAAGGAACTAACGAACTAAATGAATACATAGACCCCCAAAACGCTAAGTTAGAGAAACTCCCCTAATCTCAGCATCCAATTCTCAAAAGACCAACTGCTCACAACAGCGGATCCTCATTTCCCCAAATCGAGGTATAACACACCTCTAATCATACGAAAGGGGAAAAACTCGAACGGTACC